AGGATTAATTTTAGTTATATTGGGTGTCTTTAATTTTTGATAAGGTTAATATGAATCATTTGTATTTTTTTTATATAGATTAAATTTATTTTAAAAAATAATTTTTTTTTACTTTTATTATTTTTTTTGTGTGCAACCTTACATAATATTGTTTCCTTTTATTTTACTCAATAAATTTTATGTGCCTATTGATTTTTATTTCAAATTGATTTTAATAATAAATTCATTAAACATAATTGATAAATGATTTGTGTCGCACATTTAAATATATTGATCTATATTTTATCTCTTATTCTTTCTAGTTTTGTTTATATTTATTATCAATTTTTTTATTGAGTTATTCTGATCTCATAATTTAAGATGCATGATAAACACATAAGATAAAATAAATATATCTCATGTCTAATAAATGGATTTCAAATGATAACCTTAACTTCGCTGGGGATAATTATATTTGTTTCATTTTTTTATTGTTGTTATGTTATTTTTTTATTTTAATATTAAATTAATCAAAATTTAAATTGGTTATCAAATTTCTTTTATTTCTTTAGAAACATAATTGTTTTTTTTTTCTCAAGTTAAAAACTATATTTTCAACCTTTATGGATACAACAGTTTAAGCAATTATAAAATCATGAATAGTGAAGAGCTCCCTTTTAAGATCTTTTAAGCTAAAGTCTGTCATTGTCATTAGACCACAAAGAAATTATACTGAATGCCTTAGAAAAGGGACCCTGGTTCGCGTTACCTTTCGGCTGAGAAAGGAATCATCCTTGTCACCCTCGGCAAAGGGTCATTCATGGTCAAGCACGTACATTATATTATACATACAACTACATGGTATTGGAAAATCACTGTTTCCCACACTTAAATACACTGTAGATTTCATGCATTTCTCCTCTTTTTTTTTTTTGCACCTTTTAACTTTTTCCCCTTTTTTCTTTTCTTTTTTCATTTTTTTTTAAAATTACTTTCCATTTTTTTTCCAACTTTTTTTTTTCCAACTTTTTTTTTATTAATTTTTAAATATTGAGCTGGTTAAATTTAACTTTGTAGTAAAATCTTTTTTTTTTCAAAATTTTTTTTTATTAATTTTTAAATATTAAGCTGGTTAAATTTAACTTTGTAGTAAAACTTAATCATTTTAATATTTTGATATCAGTATATCAAAACAATAAAAAAAATATAAAATATAATTAAAAAATTAAAAAAAAAAACATAATTTCATCCACTTTATTAAATAATCACTGGAATAAAAAAAAAGAAAATAAGAAATTCTAGATAAACTAGTCCCTAACCAAATTCTTAAGATCAGTGTAAGGTTTTATCTCTACTTTCATCATTAAATTCTTTGTGATGACGAAAATATCAAGGGCGACAACACTAATTAACAGTTGCTATAAAACTATTTTAGTGTGGTTGATCTACATGAAAATTTTGCATCCAATATATTGAAATGGAACTCTATGATTTTTAGCCACAAGAAATTACCAAAATTTATATTTTAAGCTGGAACATGTTGTCAATCTAATATATAGCAATGGAAATTAACGTTTCTTGGAAATTTGAGATTTGATTATTTTTTAATAAGTAAAAAAGAAACAGAAAAAGGATGAATGTTACATTCATATATATGGATCTCGCACCCGAATAGTGCATGCCATTTTGAAATCCATTAGTGTCCTCTGTATGATAATGTCTCGAAACATGATGTAAATTATATTTAATAAAAAATTATATTTTTTATTAAAAATTAATTCATTTTATATATTTTATATCATTTTGATATACTAATTTTAAAAATAATAATAAAAATATTATTTTAATATAAAAATACTTTACAAAATAAATGCAATTATATTTCTAAACGTGAAGAATTGAAGTGGATGAGACTCTCTAGAACAGTTTTTTGTTAGTATGTAAGTAGTGCAGACCTAACTTTCTGCCTGGGAAACCCTCCACCATAGGTCCAAGTGAAGCCCGTCGTTTATTGTAATTTTTTTTTATTGTAAATATTTTCATTTTTATGTACTTTTTGAGAGCGCAAGGGCCATACCCCCTCTTTATTTAATGTTTGGGGTGGTGGGGGCATGCCTTTAAAGTTAGAACAGGATTTGCACGTTCCAAATGGTTCAAAGGCGTGTCTTTCATGACAAAGAGGATTATTGTTTATTTTCATGTTTTAAAAATATTTTAATTTATTTTTTTATTTTAAATTAATATATTTTTACTTTTTTTTAATGAGCTGATATTAATTTTTTTAAAAAATAAAAAATATTATTTTTAAATAATTTAAAATTTAAAATATTTTAAAAAATAACTTTAATCATATTCTCATTCCATTAGCTTTCATGTAGGAAAGGATGAAACATCTTTTAATATCAATATTCAAGTGGATATTCACTCTCAAAAGGCAACTTTGATCTGACAGGGAAAGGGAAGCCAAGCCCCAGCAAAAAGAAAAAGAAAAAGTCTAACAGCAAATCCAGCCGAGCCTATCAACCAACGAGGCCTAACCGAGTTTGGGTGGCAGCAGTCCTAATCAGGCCTGCCTACTAGCCAAGCCCAACCATGCTTAGTTGGTGGCTTGGCTAGGCTCGGGTCATAAAGCCACAATACCTGCACAACCTGCACGTCTGCTCGAGTTTTCAAGTTACAGAACCAGTGCATTTTAGGCGCCATGTGCAAGCCACCCTACTTTAGTTATTATTATCGTATTATTCTTTGATGGGAGTGCCATAATTTGCAGTAATTAGCATGGGCATCTATCTCCATCCTTTACATCACATGTTACTTTTACGGTGATCGACAATAAAGGAAATAAACTAACGTTGTAAAAGATACACAACATTATTCTAGGCAGGTTTGCTAACCTGCCCTAACAACAACAGGTTTGCCCCCATGTCCTCATAGATTTACACCCTAATCTTTATTATACATTGTTCTAAAATAATCGTTGTAAAAGATACACAACATTATTCTGGGCAGGTTTGCTACCCTGCCCTGACAACAACAGGTTTGTCCCCATGTTCTCATAGATTTACACCCTCATCTTTATTATACATTGTTCTAAAATAATAATAGTACTGACAACAAATATAATTTAATAAGTTAATATATTCTATACTATAATAATTAAATTAAAATATTTTTGATTAAAAAATAATAATTACATTCAAAAATTATTAACTGAAAGCTTATGTTAAACCATGTAGACTGTAGGTCACAAGACCTAGTTTCAAAGATAAAACTAAATCATGTAATATTTTTAGTAGTCCTAGAAAATTATTATTTCATGTCTATTCATATAATGAAAAAGGGTGCTAGCTATTGCATGATAAAATGTGAGTTATGCTCATATTGATTTTTATATTTTGATATATCAAGTGGAATATAACATAATATTTATAATGAAAGATCACCTATATAAGCAAGTAATATGAATATTTCTTTAAGAATTTATCAAAAGCTTAAATTATTTAAAGCACCCATGAATTTAAGAGTTGTTTAGGATTAAAATGAAAACAACTATAAAAACTAGAGGAATTATCTAAGTAAAGAACTATGTAAGTATTATTGTCTTAGTTTACATAAAAGGCTAAATAATTCGAGATATCGTGTATTAAAAAGCTAAAAATTATATATTTTGATGTAATGATCCCCTAACTCACTATCTCTCTATAAATCTTTGAGTATTTATATACTGCTTATATAATTTCTATTCATGTTAGGAATTGTTAGAAATTTATTTTAAAAACATGGTTAATGAACATATTTGATGCTAAATTTAAAGTGGATTCCATTCATTTTTAGAGTTAAAAATTTATTAGAAATAATTCTTCAAGAAAAGTACTTTAATATACAATTTTAATATTATTAAAATAAATTATGGATGAATAAAAAATTAATTTAAAAAAAATCCTTAATTAACATATTTTGTGAAATCCAAAACTCTCTATTAGATATTGAAAGAATATAATATTTTTCTATAACTTATTCAAAATAGACTGATAGGACACCAAAGTTTTTAGAAGAAAAAGAAACTAAACTTTGAACTTAAACATACTCGCACTTGTTTAGCTTAGGTAAGCATGGATATAGGTCTCTAACTTAAGGTTCTGGTCCTTAGATCTGACTTAAATTTGTATTTAGGTTTGGATTTGCCATAAAATAATTTTTTTACACATAAAAAAATATTTTTTGCTAGATTATCTGGTCTATAAATAAACAATCTAAATTAATCTCTTACTTTAACAAGGCTATTTTTTAAGTCAAAAGTCTGGTTTTAAGGACAAAAATTATCATATATTTTTTTATTTGATTACGTCTAATAATTTAGAAAAGTAACAAGAATTAATTCTAGTAATTGTGAAAATTAGTTTTGCATAAGTTCTTAATTTATTCCAAAAATTAGTATAAAAAAAGGGTTGAATGAGAGATATTTTGCATACATTGTAGCAACTCATTCTTCTTTTTTTTGTATGTTATTATCACATCTTTTTTGCCTCAATTTCTGCTTATTTCTTTCTTATTTTCTGATATGTTCTAGAGATTATATTATTGTCCTTTAGAGATAGATTTTAAGACATATTTTCTTGATGGGAGTGTAATTAAAAAAGATTGTGTTGTTGGAATACTAGGAGGTTGATTGCAATCATTTTGTTTACAGTAAAAGATGAGTTATAAATATAAGTACCTAAGCACTGGCAACAACATATTTTTATTTAAATCAAATTATAAGTGTTTTAACAAATTACTAAACAATTTATTTAAATATATTGCTTCCTATATATGTATGTCCTTTAAATGTATGTTTATATAATTCAATTTTTTTTTTTTTAAAGTTTGTATGCATACTGCTTTGTTTAAAAAAAAGATAACCTTTATTAGGACATCACATTACATTTTAGGGAACGATAGTGTACGCCTCATGAAATACTACAAACCATACTAAGAACACGTAAATTCTTAATTTTTAGCTTGTGCAACAGGCAGCCGATCTATGTGTGATGCCCCACGGAATCCTTGGGGTGCGATGGGCTAATCTCTAAGAACGCGTCGACCAATGCGTTTGCGAAATCGGGGTCGTTGATATGATATGGATACACCTTTACCTGTAATCATTAAAACCTGCAATTTATCAGAAAGTTCCATTTCAAAAAAATCAATGAGCAGTTAATTAGATGATTAATGCGTGGATGATTATGTACAAGACTTGAGAACAGACAGGAGGTTGGAAAACTACGATACGAGATTTTACGAGGAATACTGTTACCTGCCGATCGTCTGTAGTCTGTACAAGCCTCTGAAATTCATTTATTAGTGTAGAAGTAGCCTCTGGATCATAACATGGCTTCCCAGGTGCATCATAAGCCGAGACACCCTTTTGTGGCAGGCAAACACGGAACTTTGATGATGGTGACCTGTTGAGTTTATCAGCTATAAATTCAGCAAAGTTCTTATTCTCATCCACTGTGGTCCGGACGATTGAATTCTGAAAGCGACAAAATATGAGGAAATTGCATCGGTGCTTCCCACAGAACGGGGGCAAAGACGTTAAGCGAGTTTACTGGGGAGTAATAACCTGTGCATTGTGGATATGAATCTTTCTATGTTGGAATCTCGAAGGTATGGTATCCTTAGTTCCGAAGGACACCATGTCCAAGGCTCCTACTGTCAATACAAAAGGAATGTTCTTCTCTATGATAGCATCAAAGCGGGAACTATCGCAGGGCATAATGCCTCCAACCAAAAAATCTGCAACCTCTGTCGTGGTAATATCCAGCACGCCCTGAGAAAAACCAGACGGTGAAACATGTCATCGAGGATGAAACACTTCAGTTCTGCTTACAAGGATTCTATGTGGCCTTCGATCCTTCCAAACTCTTATTTAGCCTTTCAAGATTAGGAAATGCAATATCTCTAGTAGAACTTGCAACGCAACATTGAACGCAAATGAAATTATAAAGTAATATACCTGAATAAGACCCTCACCAACTAGATTCTCCATTGCCCTGCCTCCTACCCCAGTTGCATGGAAAACCATGGTTTCATAGCCTTCTTTTGCCAATCTTTCTTTGACAGCATTTACACATGGAGTTGTAACTACAAACATGGTTAAACCAACAGTGAACTTCTCATTATTGCTACAATCTTGTCTACTGGTTGCAAGCCTTCCAACCACCATTCCGGCAAAAGCAGCTCCAGCATTTGATAACACAACCCTACTAACACCATTGATCCCACATATATCTACTATAGATGGAAACAGTATCATATCTGAGGTTCCAATGTAAGATTCAGTTCGACCACTAGCAACAGTAGATACAATGACCTTAGGCATTCCAAGTGGAAGGGACCTGAAAGCAGATGATATCAGAGATGTGCCTCCAGTGCCTCCAAGGCCAATTGCTCCAGCAAGGACCTGATCCTCCTGAGCTTTCTTCAAGAAATATTCAAGTGCTTTACTCATTGTTGCAACAGCTTTGCCTCTTTCATCTGTAAGAATCCTCGGGGATTTCTCAATGGATCCAAAATAGCAAGCTAGAACATCCTTTCTTGGCACAAAGATAAAATCTGCTAAATCCTTGGTCTCCTTCTCACCACAACTGACATCAACAACCACTACTTCTACCTGTCATTTTCATAAAAAAAATCTGATCATATACAAGGGCAGCTCCAAATTGAACTACAACTTGAAAACATACAAGGTAACTTGTTAAAGTTTTCTTTATGGAAATTACTAATTGAAGCAGCTATGTAGACTACATGACCTTGCGGTTCCAATTTAGAAGATAAAATTAATGATTCTGTCAAAGTTGTTCCATGATTCTCATCGAGAGAAATTGAGTACATTTTCAAAAGAAACAAAAAAATGGTTCAAATTCTTTGAAAAGACAACATGAAGGATAAACTAACAGTTCATATTGATGGCACTATAAAAATCTACATAGTGAGACTGGATGCTATTGACTTCAACTTTAGAATCCATTTTTTATGACCTCTGCATGACTTCGAGAACAGTTTAACTAAAGTTTCAGTAGAATGTACATTTCTAGTTTCAAATTAAATAAACTCAGAAAATTATGCGATTTTTCTTGCAAAGAAGGTACCTTGAAGGAAGAGATGTCAGTGAAGGAGTTAATATTGGACCGGACAGATTCAGAAAGAAACTTGAGCTCATCAAGCTTTGTATCAGCCGTTCCAATGCAGAAAACTCTTGGAGTTTTACATAAATTATCCATGTTTTTGGTCCAATCTTTGCAGAGTGGTTCTGGTTTTAGTAACCTGATGTTGTGAGTTGAAAGGTTGGTTCTGATTGCAGTTCATGACACTGCGGGGAGTGTTATATTTAACAACTCGTGGCTGGCAGCATGATGCTCCTCAACCATCCGTAGCCGAAATCACTTCACTGTTTAATCGTTGACGTTCCAGAACAATGTTCATAGGAAGTCACTTCACTGTTTTATCGTTGATATTTTAGAACAACGTATGGAAAAAGACAATCTGAGTAAGAGTATTTGATGTTTAAGAAGGATTTAGTATACTATTTTAACAACCTTTTTTTCGTCCTTTCTTTTAACATAGGATATTCTGGCATCAACATCCATTGATTAAGAAATTCTTACTACTAGGCCAAGCCTACACATGTTTGAAGAGTTTTCTGCATTGGACGGCTGATTCAAAGAATTCGATCAAAAACTGTAAGAAAATAATACTATTTAAATGGCTGTTGTTGTTGCATCACGTCGTGTATGATTCTCTAAATTGAAGTAGACAAAGAATTCGATTAAAGAATCGAAGAAATAATAAGGTTTGCATGTTGGCTTCTAGCAGTGACAGCAAATTTTCTTAATGAATTCAACGAAGTTCCCTAATTATACTCGAATAAACCTTGTGTATAATTTTATCAAATAAAATGGAAGTTATGAGTTTTGAACTCATTACTGCTTGATTAACATAGTTTATATATCATGTTAAAAAGTTATTTCAATTAAAAAAATATAAACTTTTAAGTAAATAATCAAAATATAATTTATATTATTTTTTTCATTAACGAATCCAGTGCATGGCAATTTGCCACCCAAAATATCAACTACCAATCTGGCGACCGTTAGTGAGAAATCCCAGTATCAGTATCTTGAATGTCTCTCTATCTTTTTTCTTTTATCTTTTCATTGTTCGATAGTCTCTTAAAAGAGCAGACATTTATTCTGTATCTCTGCTTCTACTGTGACTTTTAAGAAATACCCGCAGAAAGACTGTTGAAAGAGGATTGACACACAACAAGCACCATTATGAGCACAGAATTAAGAGGGAGAGAACAAAAGAATGACCTGGTAAAATGGTCTGGGCCTTTGCTTCTGATCAAAATAAAATGGCTAGCCAAAGAAAATTGCTAGTTTTTTAACATTTCGCATTACATTTCAGTATATGCATGTTTTTAAGAAGTACAGCAAATGATGCAATTGTACAAGACATGTACATGGTGAAAAAACAGAAAGGAAGGTTTTACACTTTACATCAGGATATACCTATTTCATCACATTCTCAATGTAGAGACATAAAGGGTAACGCAGAAGGAAATACAACGGAGCAACGCTAGACATCCCACCTTGGCATTCATTTGATGGAAATGGCTTGTTCAACAGGCAGTCTCTCCATGCTTGATGCACCATAGGATCCATGAACTCCCTTGGTTCTCTTCGGTATGAATTCTACCTCTCTGGGTCCGGATATGGGGCCTGCAAAGCCATTAAGAGATCCGTTATTAACTCTAAGCCGATAAGTCCACGTTTTGGCACGTCAAACTGAAAATGGCAGAAGCTAAACTCTTTTTAGAAAAACAGCACTGAATAAAATCTTGGAGACTTTGAATGATGAAGATAATCACAAGAAAAAAATCAACGAAAAAAATTCTGAACAAGCCTGAGCAAGAGAAGGAAGCCAACAGTCTGCAATAGCTTGCACACGAAATACACTTTCATCTAATGAGACAGCTGTTTTTGCATCAACAGACCCAAATGTAGTAAGCCCCATAAGGGCAACAATGATATTCGCACCAACTTTTGCGACGTCCCTGGCTTCATTTTCATTAAAAGCATATGGGGTTGTCAAGAGACCCTTTTTATGTGCCTTCTCAATCATCTGAACCTCCAATCTGACCATTTTGAAGGGAACAAAATATAGCCGTTGGATTCAATAGACAGCCAAATAAGAGAAGAATGTGGACATAGTATGAGAATTTTTTTCCCAGATGACATAGTTTGGTCATGCCCTCCCGTTCCCGTCTCTTCCAGATTTTGTCTAAAATTACCATCGAACAACCCAACAGTTGGAAAATTTTGCACCCCACAGAACCCAGTTGATTCCACCTGCTTTAAGAAGTAATCCGTTCGGCGAAAAGGATCTGTTCCACATACTCTTGCAAGAACCGGTACCTGCTTGACAACCTATATCCCTTCAGTTAGCTTTAGAGTTGGCAATATTCCAACAACCTCGTACAAGAACAAAATCATAAAAACAGTGCATAGCAATTTAGATGACTGCTAAAACAGGGGATAACTTACAAAGAAAACAGGAGTAGCTCCACTTTCAGTCCAGAGACGTCAGATTTATTAAATGTTCTGCAGTCCACCTTAATTTGTAAAGACATATGTAGTAGTACAATGGCCAGACGTCCAGTACGTAAAACTGGAGGTTCTCTATATAAACTTAACCTCTAGTATGTTTCTGCTCATTCTGACACCATTTATAAACAGAAAATCCAGGTTCGATGATATAAGATACGTGAAATAAAGCAGAGACTGTTTGTCCTCATGACACCTGAAAATTTGATTTCCCAAGTGCCTTCTCCTACGAGTTCTAAGTAGCCACTGGCTATTCTCTACACAAACAATGGTAGTCAACAAAGGGAGCACCCAGGGGCACAACTAAGGGGGGCAGTGGGGAGCCATGGCCCCTCAAAATTCAGAATAAATCTCAATATGATTTCCGGCTCCCCTAACCTCAAATTTCTAGCTCCTCTTTGGCAGCACCTCTAATAATTAAGGAAAGTGAAACAAAAATTTGGCTTTACCTCTTTTTAAGAAAAAATTGAAAGCAAAACCAAAACCACTGATGATGGTGGTTTGGAAAGCCTATCCCAATATATATCACTGTTCTATATATATTTTATTTATAAATAATTTTTGTATCTCAATATGATTTCCGGCTCCCCCAACCTCAAATTTCTAACTCCTCTTTGGCGGCACCTCTAATAATTCAGGAAAGTGAAACAAAAATTTGGTTTCACCTCTTTTTAAGAAAAAATTGAAAGCAAAACCAAAAGTGATTTTAGATAATGATACGTGGTACCATGAAAGTGAGTTGATGAATGTGGTCGGTGGTTGTCAATCAATCATCAATGATTCTCATCCTTAACCTTTTAGATTAAATTTACTATAACAATTTTTCTTTAAACTTCAATAACAATTTTTTTTAAACTTAATAGATTTCAAAGCATAAATTTTAATATGATAAATACCTCTTCATTTAATAGCTTTATAAAGATATTTATAATTTGATAATTTATTTTGCAAGATATAAGTACAAATTCTTTATTTTAAGATAAAATGATAACGTGTATCAATGTATTTGCTTTTTTTTTTTTTTTATATAATATACTGGGTTTTTTACTAATATAATTGTCGATCGATTATCAATATAAATCTTTATAGGGTTTTCTTGAGAAAATCCCAAATGCTTCAGTATATTCTTTAACCATATGAAATGACATATAACTGAGCTGGTAACAACATAACAATATTATCGATTGCTTTTTGAATGACCATGTGAAAGATGTATCTCTCATAAAAGAAAAAAAAATAATCTTGTTATGCTTAAAGTATCCACAAGATTGAAGTTTTTACTTAAAGTATAAAACATACCTTCATTCATTGTTCCTTTGATATAACAGAGAATTCACTTATCTGCATTTAAGTGCGACTAATCTGGTCTCTCTATATATTTGATGATGAGTCTTACTCCATAAAGTATATCTGGTCTAGTACATGCCAAGTATTACAAACTTCCCACTAAGTTTTTAAAGTAGGTTGAATCAATATTTTCTACTTTACTCTTCCTCAATTCCATTTCATTTTCAACTAAAATTGATACTGGATTGCAGATTTTCATTTTGAACTTTTCAAGAATATTTTTAGTACAATTGTTTTGGGATACAAAAATCTCCTCTTCTTTCTGTATCACTTCTAAGCTAAAAATCTATGTCATTAGACCAATGTCTGTAATTTAAAACTCTTGCACCATGCTTTTTTAAAAATCCTTAAACATGTTGGGATTGTTGCTAGTGAAAATCAGATCATAGACATATAAGCATGTAAATAATGTGCTTCCATCATCTTCTTTCTCTACATACACTACATATTTATATGAGCATTTTTCAAATCTATTCTCTTGAAAATACTTGTTAATTCTGGTATTCGAAGCACATAGAACTTACTTTAAACCATAGAGGGCTTTCTTCAACTTGTATACTTTGCTTTTATTATCGCATTCAGCATATCTAAGTGGTTGTTCAACATAGATCTCTTCTTCTAGGAAGCCATTAAAAAATATTGATTTCATATCTGGTTGATAGATCTTCCTTCTATGTTATGTAGCTAGTGAGATTATCAGTCTAATTGTCTATAGTTGGGTTACAAGAGCAAATACTTCTCCATATTTAATGCATTCTCCCTCATTGTAGCCTTTATCCACTAATCTTGTTTTATATCTTTGTAATTTTCCGTTTACATTCTTCTTTATCTTATAAACCCATTTAACACCAAATGTTTTTTTAATTTTTGGTAGATTAGTCAACTTCCAGGTATCATTCTTTAAAATTACATGTATTTCTTCATCCATTACTTCTATCTATTTCTTTTTTATGACAACTTTATTGAAGCTAAGTAGGTCATTATTTTTGAAGAAATAAAATAAAGTTGTATCTTCCATGACTTGAGTGACATCGTACAAATATTTTATATTTCTCATCCTTCTTGGTTCTTTTGATGAGGATGCCGATAATGGTAATAATGAAGATCCTGATATTGGTATGTTTCTCCTGTTGAATACATAGAATTGTATATCGAATTTTATGGATCATCTATATGGACTATTAAAGCTTCTATAAGTACTGGTGGTACTTTTTCTTCATCTTTAAAGATCATATCAATATT